GAGCAGTGGGTTCCACTTAGAGAGCGAATATTCCAAGCGACATATCACTCCGGATAGAAGTACGGATCAAAACGCAATGGGAGGGGGAGACTCGACAACTGTGCATTAGCCAGTGCGACGTCGTCGCCATCAGCGCTCTGATGTCAGCGCACGACTGTCTTGTCCACCCCACCCTGTTTAATTTGGGCTACAGCCGCAACTAAAATGAGTCAAAGCTGCATGTTTACTATTACTGATCTTCTGTAAGAAAGCATTCATACCTGCGCAGCGTCGTATTGATGCCCTACACTTTCCTAAACGCTCAATATGCCGTCGTACGCTCAAAACGCTGACGAAAAGTATGAACACTTTTCTACAGTTGTATGACTCGCTAGGTAGCTTTTGGTCACTTTCGTACTTCCGCTTCTCATCCCGGCAGACCCGCTTTCAAAAGATCATCTAGGAACTCGTAGTTCGTAGGGAAACTTACGTGAAAATACCGGTTTTCCTCAGATAAGTGACGAAGGATTCCACCTATGTTCACCATATAGTCGTCGTCCACAAGGAACAAGAACTCTGGTGAAGGACATCCATTCCCTGGTTTGAAAGCGAAGAGTATAGAATGAACAAACTGAAAATATCGCCCAAAGTCAGAAAAATTAGAACGGAAAATATGAAGAAACGGTAAGATATTATACCTTTCGAGTGTTATTTCTGTAGGAATCAATCGAATCGATATAAAGAATATCACCGTGCCTCTCGATTTCCTTTTGCACATCCATTTGTACGGTATCATCAGCAGTTTTACCAACAACAAATACTGTTTGGACAGAATCGTAACGATTCCGAGCACCCCATGTTCGGCGTATAGCATCACGCTGCTTAAAAACCACATTTTTTTCCAGATAGCCAAGATCCGTAAACCTCAAACTCGAAATGTCCTCGCTACTTCACTTTCTTCTCTTTCACTTGCTACTCCGAAAACCGGTTTCGGGGCCCACGAGAGTATTAAGGTAACTGGGAGGGGAGGGGGAGAGGGTTGGGAAGGGATACATTCGGCCAAATGAAGCTGCGCCGACTCCGGCTGTCTGGGCCCTTTAAAACCTCGTCCCTCCTTTGCGACTCGCAAGGACCGGCGTTTTTAGAGAATCAGCGTTCTGTGCGAGAATGACAGTACAGGTAGCGATGGGCGTTCAAAACGCCTATTCTCTCAGAACACCGATTCTCCGAAAACGCCCATTCTTCCACAACGTCGAATCTCTTAAAACGTCAGATCGATACCTATACTTTTGTTTTCGCTCATTTCCTTAAAAGACTTATTCTCTTAGAACACCGATTTCCTCGAGTCGTAAAGTATGAACGCTGCCTTTACGCTGAACCAGTCGAAGAAAATCACTGTCTCAGCGGTAGAGCGCAAACAATCAGATGTGTTGCTTGCTGTGCTACCTGCTCCAACCTTCGTCATCTATTTTCACTCTCTCAAACTTTCGATCGAATTTTAGTCTCATGAGAATTTTGAGTATAATCCACAATACTGAAGACGGAAAAAGCGGATACCAATGTTCAGTGCAGAAGCAGTTGCACTCTTCAAATTCACTTCAAAATTTTATTTTCAATTGAATACCTTCGCACGGAGCGGAGCGATGTGCGGAACGCCCCTCCTCATTGAAGCTCACAAGGGAGGTCTCAGGTCGTGACGCGCTTTTTGGAAACGGTTTACTGCTTGTTGTAGGGGTCTACAAGGATCACAGAAATAGATTTCGTTTTTAGCTATGCATTTATGGAGGAGCGAATTCAAATACTGTCCTGAAAAAAATTTGACAAGAATGGGCGATTTTAACTATCTTAATGGGCTCCGTTCTGATTGTAACTTCGAGCATGCATAGTTTATGAGGTGCTCGTTAATTAGGCTTCGAAAATAGTTTTAAATAAAGTCAAAATGTAAGTATCATGTAGTAACACACTTGGCATGCACCGACGCAACAGTGATGTTTTTGTCAGCGGTCCCCTCATGCTCACTGTCGGCGGATCGGATGGCGCAGCGGATAACTCGATGGATTCTGGATGGGACGACGAGGACGCACGATACTTACATTTTACTTTATTTTGTACTATTTTCGAAGCCTTATTAACGAGCACCTCATAAACTATGCATGCTCGAAGTTACAATCAGAACGGAGCCCATTAAGATAGTTAAAATCGCCCATTCTTGTCAAATTCTTTTCACTCAGTTTTTGACCTCCCCAGAAACGCATAGCAAAAATGAAACCCATTTTTGTGATCCTTGTATGGACCCCTACAACAAGCAACAAACCATTTCCAAAAAGCGCGCCACGACCTGAAAGACCTCCCTTGTTAGGTTTACCAGAGCGTACATCACCAGAGTACAGATGAACAGAATTACCGCGGGTTTTCACAGAGCAGGCATAGTCGAATGGGAGAGTGCCGATAAGACCACTGGTTTGCGTCCTCCCACAGAAACAGCAACTCATCCTTCCCCAAAATTGAACTTTAGATAGTTTCATACGACAAGACTGGGCACAGTGAGTCGCTCCAATTGTCCTCTCTCAACTTTGATCGCCCTTACTGATGTATTTAAAAATGTAGGAAGGGTGGTTCCTACCTTTACATTGGCTGTAGACGACTTTACCATTACGAGCAATTCCAGTGATTTGTTAGGCGTATGGCACTTGGGAAGTGCGATCTGGCGGAATGATTTAACATTGTTTTCCCTTGAAACTCTATCAGGCTTACCACGAAGTGCTCGGCGAGTCTGAATCCACTATTTTGAATCACAAGAGCACAAATGAATTTCAAAGAGGGAAGGGGTAAAACTAAAAACTACCTCAACCAAAATATTAACACCATATGGTGGCCACTGGAACTCATCGAAACTTGTTTCCAGCAGATGATCGAATAGTCCACACATCCACATTAGTGAAATACAAGGAATCAACAGAAGCAAGCATCT